CTTTCAAAATGTTCCTCATTCTTTTATTCAGTCCAAAAATGTTAGTCAGGTACTTTGTTAGAAAATAGTGTAAAATAAGACCTCTGCTCTCAAGAGTTTACATTCTTGAGGGTTACATTGTTACATTGTTGGGGTTCAGGGGGTGGAGCATAAAGCAATGCATTATACATTAAATGAAGGTCTTATAAAGCTCTATGGAGACAAGAAGAAGCTGCTGATAACTGCATTGTGGGAATTTGGGACCATTCATATGTCAATTCCTTTCTCAATTTTCTCTACTAAGCATTCAGATATTTTGAACTACTTTAGGTACTTAAAATTGGGAACCTTTATTTACTTAATCTCAAGTTGGTTTATTAAATTTAATCCTGTAAATAATCATCTTTCAAAAGTTGATCCCTAAGTTAAAAAAAAAGAAAGACTTTTCACTGGTGCACATTTACTTCTAATTCAAAGTTCAACATAGATGGAAAAACCTGCCAGATAATTTGGAAAGATCTTTTAATAGCCCTCTATAGTAGTATATATTGTTTCAAGAGCTCCATAAATAATTGAGAAACAATTTATAAAAGGGGAAACAGGATATTACTTACATCTTTTTTTCACAGAATCACTGAATTTGGGAGCCTTTCCTTCACCTATGAGTTTTATGGCTTTCTACACTAGAACTATGAAGATATATAAAGAAAATAAAATCATCTGTCCTCAGTGCTGTGCTTTAACCCGCTGCGCCACCAGGGAGGGCCCATCATCTGTCCTTAAAGGAGCTTATTTACATCTACTTCATGCATTCTTTGATTTCACTCATTCAGTATGGACAAGGAAGTGCTCACTGTATAAAGGGAAAACACAAAACCGAAATTCACAACCCTGAAAAAGAACCAAAGTTTACGATATAACCTTTGTGTTTTTTTTATTCTCATAAACATATAGTTGCCAATCCAATCATGCTTAAGGGTACAATTCAGAGGCACTAGATTAGGTATGTTCACGTTGCGACCACCATTCACCTCCAATATTGTTTCATCATCCCATACTGAAACTCTCTGCCCACTAAAAAATAACTTCTCATTTGTCATTTCTCTATTCTACTATCTCTCCTTATAACTTGCTATAGGTACCTCATCTAAGTGGAATCATGCACTTCTTCTTTCCAGAAATGTCTATTCAATTCCATTACATAACAAATTTTAGACCACAGGAAAAAAGGACATTCTTAGGAAATGATGCCAGTTTAGTCTTATTAAGAATTGAGTGAAATCCTCTGTTTAGCCTATAAAAAGAATAGAGAAATGAATCTCAGTAATTGTGAGTAACAAAAACCAATAAATACAAAAATGTACTGTAAAGATTGGAACTAGCACATGCACATATTCCTGATTGGTACTCCATAAGATATGGTACCCCTTTTGCGACATAAAGTACTAAACAAGTTCTGGAGATTAGGAGTGAACATTTGGGGAACTATTTTATTATACCTATTGCCTATAAGACCAAAAACAAAAAAGCAAGGTCTTCAATATGGCCTACAGGAATCATTTTTCTCTCAGGATGTCTTAACTACTCTTTATGAATAGTCAGAGGACTTTTTTTTTT